TTCTTGTCTTATACTTTCTTTTCTTTCATGTGAGTCCAACATCTTCATCTTGTTTTTATTTGTTTTAGTTTTAATGAATTGCGGATGAGACCTTTTCTTTTCCTTCTCTAATTTTTCCAGGGTAACATTTTTGTGTCCACCTCTAGAATTAAGATAGCATATCATATCAAATCTTATACTTACCAATTAAACTGTGTAAATGATCAGAAATTGGTGATGATAAGATAGATTGCATTATGGAGTGCCAACTTATCATTGTAGGTATATCACTTCTTCTTCTCGGTAATATTCTCAAAGAGTAAACTGCAAATTCAGTTATATACACTGTGCATATTGTAGCCCCTTGTCAATTCGGTTGCACTTTTGGACTCCAATTCAAGTTAAATAAATTTTTTTTCTGTTTTATCATGGGAACTCTGTGATTTGTCTTTGCATTTACTCTAGCACATCTGGGTCAATCTAAATCTCATGATGTTTAGTTAACTTCATATGTCCACTATCTACCATTATCTAACTTTTGAATCTTCAAATTTGTTTATGTAACTGCAAGATTGCTAGAATGAAAGAAAATACAAATTTACATGATTGACAAAAAATAAAAATAACTTCATGGATCTCATCTACACATTTCCAGTTTTTTGTACCCGTCTTTTCTCTCTACTAAAGTGTTCATTACTTGAATTTGAAGTTAAAGCAATCTAGTAAATTTTGTGATATTTTGACTAACTTTTTTTCAAGTTCGTTCTCTGCTACAATATGATTTCATTTGTCACATTTTTCACTCATTTTTGAAGTCACATTCTCTGCTTTAAGTCGAATACGTATTTTCACACTTTCTAGTTTTTTTTTTTTTTTGAAGTCATGGTCATCTTGAGCTTTTATGCTTGCAGATTCATTACTATCTCGGCGTCACATGCTGTAAGTGCCACTTTGAAGGCTTACTTGGGAGGACCTTATCCTATGTTTAGTTTGGTGCCGGTTGACACAAAAAAGTTCTTGTGGGAAAGATTTCAGGTAATATAAGTTTCTTCTAAATATACTTATTGTCCTTATAAATTTTCATTGCTTTTTTGGGTACTAATGGTTGGTACCTACATCAGCAAAAATACTCATGGCCAAAAATCAAAGATAATGAGGTGAAGAAGGCACAGAATACCACCTCAACTGATCGACTACGAGATATATTTTGTTTGGCTCGAAAGAAGGCTCAGGAAAATAGTAGGTCTAAAAATATAATTGATTGGAAGTGTTATTGACCACCGTGGTTAAGTGTAGAGCACTAGAATGATATAATTGAGAAAAAATGTGGAACAATGAAGGATGGAAGAAGTCTAAACTTGGTCATGATACCGATTGACTATAAAGTATGGAACCATCACTAAACACACTGCTGGTTCAATAATAATTGTTGCCCACAAGTTGAGGCTGGTAATGTGTAACTCGCATGACGAAATTTCATCTATAATCGACATGTATATGAGCATCTTATTCTATATATTATGTTCATTTTACACCAAAATTCCATTCGTTAGAAGAGCTTATTTTTTTCATTTTATGTTAGATGGGGAAAAATCAGCATGCTCTGTCTGAATTTCATTTGTCAAAAATCAGCATGTTCTGTCTTTATTTTCAACTTTCTGGCTGAAATCATTTTGGGAAAAATCATCGTGTTTTGTCTTTATATTTAGCATGTTGTGTCTAAAATTAAGTTGAAAAAAAAATGCATGTTTGTCTTTATATTCAGCATGTTGGTGCAAGTCCTCATTCACTAGGCAGAGGCAAATCCATTGTTTTAGATGCACCAAAATCCTTATTTGTGGTTGCTACATTTTTTCCTTGCACCGATAGATTTTAACTAATTCTTTTAGTTTGCATCAGTACTTCATATACATGAATTAAATGCCAATTTTTTATCCACATAATGATAGAGAAATCATGACTTCAATACGAGGAATTTATATACATTATGCATGACATGCAATTTGAGTTGTTCCTAATCAAGAATCTTTTAAACTAAACTCTTCATTTATTGATTGTTTTCGACACGAGAAATTAGGCAAGCCACCTACTTCTTCACAGTTATTCGAATGTGTACATCGTCGAAACAAAAGAGAAGGAGACTCCGTAGACAACAAGTCACGAATTGTGTGGGTAAGTACAAATAAATTCTGTTTTGATTAGACTCTACACTTTGAATTTCATGTTGTTAGCTAGCTAGTCCTAGAAGTAATAGTGTCACCAATTTATTTGTTCTATCATGTTTCTATATA